AACACAGACAATGGACACAGGGGTGTCGTGAACTTTTTCAAAACTAGGAAGAAGCCTTGTAGCCAGAGTTGCCCAGGGGTGATACGGGAACCCAAGGGAGAGAAAGGGACCCCGCGGCGCCGGATCCTTGCAGCCAGACAAGCCCTCGTCACGACCACCGCCCCTGGTCCCGGCCAGCCGCTCCTCGTACGGCCGTGGGCCAGTGCGGGGCCACCTGTCTCGGGCCCCTCAGCAACACCGTCCTGCACCAGGAAACGAGGGTGGACATCGTGCGTCCCCGCCGTGCCGTCCCCTGCCTCATCTCTGCCACCAGGTCAGCAAACGCCCACGGAGCACGACTGTGTCGCAGGCCGTGTCCAGGGGACCAGGCAGCGAACAGACAGACAGGGACCCGGCTTGGGCTGCACGACGCAGACACCTTTCCTCTGGTGACTTCGGGATTCGATCTCCGCCCCAGGACACGGGTCACGCCCTGCTCAGCAGGCAGCGCCCCATGTCATCCACATCACAGGAGGACTTGAGGGAGGCTAGAGCTGCCCCGGCCTCCCCCAGACCCTCCCCCCTGCCCCCTGCTGCATCCCGCCGGGCCGGCTCCTGTCACACGTGGCACCTGGAGCGTCAGAGCCAGGCAGCAGGCGCCCGAGGCCCTCCAGCCGGCCTGGAGCAGCTCACACCTCAGACCTCCACTCCCCTGATGCCCTCGCTCGAAGTGTCAAGGGTACCGGTCACCAAGGGACACAGCCCACCCAGGGCTCGGCGACACCGGCTCTGCGGGGTCCCGGTTGTTTAGGAAGTGTCGGTGTCGGGGATCAGGAGAGGAAGGGACAGACGGTGTGGAGCTGGCGGCTCGGCTTGCCGTCTGGGGTCCTCAGCACACAGACGTGCGGTTCCCAGCCAGCCACCAGGGACGGGAACCAGAACCTGCCGCCCACTTGGTAAAACAAGGGCTCCAAGTGACATTTCCTTGGTGGTTTTAAGCAAATGCCCTGTCATAATATTTGTGCTGGGTTGCCTTTTACGATTTTCTGAGCTCCTAGGCTGTCTCAAAGAGAAATCTTTGAAAGGAAGGCCAGCTTAGCAGAAAGGTCAGGGGTTTGAAGACCAAACAGTGAGCTCAGGCGGCCAGACGAGGCTGCATCTCCGTTGGCGTCGTCCTGAGCGGCGACAGCTCCTGGCTGGCAAAAGGAGAGGCCCCAGTGGCCACCAGCTGGTGCCTTCCCCCCAGAGGGCTCTTGGCAGATGCGGCCAGATGGCACCGCTCCTCGTGAGACCCAGCGTTTCCATGGGTGCCCAGACAGCGATGCTCGCCGTGGGCCCGACACAGCCTGGCACCTTCATTTCCTTTTAGACACAGGTACTTGGGTCCCAGCCCCGAGAACTGTTTACTTAACTGGTGGGCTCGTCCTGCAGAGAACCAACCTGGTCTGCTTCAGTGGGTTTTAAAGCAGCTTCTGTGGCTTGGGCATGTCGCCCTCCCCCCTCGGAACGTGCCTCTCGTCCGCTCGACAGCGCTCGCCCAGCACCCACCGCGGGCCGGCGGTGGCAGCACAGTGACGGCCCTGGCCCCAAGCGCGTCCGTCTGTTCGGCCACTGTTCCCACGTAACCGAGGACGAGATCGAGGCTCAGAGAGGCTGAAACGTGTGTCCCAGTAGAACTAGTAGGGCCTGGTCTAGGCCACGGTTGCGCCCAGCCTGCGGTGCTGGCTTCCCGCAGAGGGGCGCTGCGCTTATTTTGAAGGCTGAATTTTTAAGCATGAACTTTCACATGCTGGGACTCCCCGGTGGGACGGGCAAGGCCAAAGACAGTTGACACCAGAGCAATAAACATGGACCCGTGCTGGCCACCAGCTCGTTAGCCTAACTTCTCCGCCCTCCCCATGGGTGGGGCTGGGCCCCGGGCTGGGCGGGCTTCCTCAGCCTCACCCACTGCCCTCAGCTCACTCATCTCCTGAGGCGGTGACTCCAGATGGCCCGCGTCGGCTCCGAGGGTGGCTTCTGATGACAGAATCCAGGCAGTGATGAGGCGGCCCGTGTGCCCGCTCACGCCCGACGCGGCACAAGGTCACCCCAGGGTGCGGGGTGCAGGACCCCAGCCCGCATGGGGAGGGGTGCTGCTTTGTTCCCTGCCTTCTGCTCCTCACCCCCCCAGCCACATGTGCTAGAGCCCCTGGGTGGCGCCCAGCTTCTGGCCCTGGCAGGAACCCCGGGAAGGACAGGCGGCTCCCCATTGCCCCCCTCCTGCTGAGCACACTGGAGTTGCAGAGGTAGGGAGAGGAGGCGGCTCCCTCTGTGGGGGTGTGGGAGTTGGGGAGACAGGAGAAGGAGGGCGCGCTGGGGCAGGGTGCTCAGAAGAGCCAACATCCCTATGCACGCGCCGGAACCCAGGTTCCCTGGGGCGCTCACCCCAGCCAGGAGCATCCCTGGGAGCTGGAGGAGGCAAACTCCAGCCCGGCGCGCGGGTGGGGCGGAGACAGTGGCTGGGGCCGCCCCCTTCGCCCTCCAGCGCCCCCCACGGCTGGGCGCGCCCACCGCCGGCC